CATAATTATGTGGTAAAATTAGTATTAGCATGCCTTAATTACACTTTGTTTCAACAAGAAGATACAGGCATTTATGTATAATTCCTAGTTATGTATGCTAATCGTGGTTTTGAATTGATAAGCAAGTAAATTGGACTAATGTTGAGTGAATTGTTGTCAATAACAAATTAATTACACGATTTTAGTGCTCGAGGCGACAATAAGCATCAAAGCAAGGCCACGTAACAGTCTTCTCTGTTGCACGAATGGGCAGGTCCGTCAAGGTGCCGCTATCTCACAGAAGACCGGCGTGGAGTGGAAGTCTTGTACTTCTGCGTTTCGTCTGGCGAGTGAGGTAGCCGGGGCCCACTTTATTTAAAGGTGGCAACGCTTCTGCAACCCTACGGGTGTTGGAAATGTCGATGGGCGGTGGTTATCACTTAACATCAGGTGGACCGCCGGCCCTTTAGCCACATCATCGTATTAATAAATGCGAGATCACCAAAATATAGTTATGCAATTGCACCGCACACTGAATTGATTCCCGCGCTCCTGAAATGTTCCCGCGATGGTGGTAATGATAAAATGACCAGAGGCGGTAAGACAGCGTCTCGCAGTTGAAAGAAATATCCGTCACCCGGCAGACGACGTGGGCACCACATTAAGTCTTCGACGTCCTTGACATATTGCAGAGGTCGAACTGTAGTGGCCTCGAGCGGCGTTTCTAGCATCGTATAATTATAAACAAATTTGGCCGCCGTCCGTCGACGCTACGCTAATTTATTGGCGACGCTTTAAGGCGGCTCGCGCGTCACTACGTGTTCCTTCTACTGTTTAAGTAGCTACCGTAATCCAATTGTGGAATAATATTATGTCATTTTGACGGTAGCATTGATCTTGCTCGTTATTGCTTTAGCGGTTTTACGGGCGCTAAGGCTCTCTTCGACTATGTTTATCTTTCGCGACTATATTTATCGTTATTTTCATCCCGAAGTCTGTAACTATTTGCGGAACTCGCTTTTTTGAAGTTATAACTCTTTTGGCGAGATTTAAATAAACCTTCATCAATTGCGTTAATGTCTGAATGCTAAATAACTATAAATTCTTACGTGCGTAAATAAGTACATATATTAAGTATATTTTTTATTTATTAGTATTTGTTGTTGTGGCATAGACAACTTTTAAACGGAATTTCCTCAAAAAAACGAATATTTCTACGCACTGATCATTTTAAGTTTACTTGACAGACAGACGGCAAGAATGTAATGAAGTGAAAGTTAATCAATTACCAACTATGCTAGGAATTTTATTATTGTCTTTTGCTTATAAACGTTTCGAAATTTCTGTAGTCTAAATGCAGTTTTAAATGAGTGCTCAAGTATATTTACGGCTGCTTTCAATATTGTAATTTGTATTTATCTGTACATTTGGTGAGTGGAGAAGGAATTTCGACGTATTATGGAACGAAACTAATGGCAAATACCTATCGCTAATAATCAAGTCTGCGAATAGATAGAATATTGGAACTGACCGTATCGGCTATCTGCAGTAAGTTCTTACTGAGTATAACGAAATTATTAGCGCATAGTTCACCGCGCGAACACGCTTTCGATTGAGGTCACATATCTTCGAAATGTTTTTGATTGTCAATAATTTCAAAATATACTGGCCGACGATATTATCCTTCACCGCTGAGCAGGTGATAAGTCGGCACTTAAAATTAACAATTCCGTAATTAGATGTCCTAGGCTTAACGCCGCGGCTGGCGACAAGAGAGCTGGTTCTTTTCTCGCTCAAAGGTTAAGCATAACTTTTCAGCGAGGAAATGCAGCTAGCGTTCTTGGCACCATGGCGCGTGGATTAGTTTTATTAGATAATATGTAAAATTTGAGATAGATTTAATCTTGTAAATATGATCTAATATTTACAAGATTAAATCTAAATAAACGTATTATCTATAACATTACAATTCCGTTGGTGCCGGCACCGGGGATTGAACCCGGGTTGGTGGAGAATATTGAATTAAAAGCGAAAGCCCAGGCGGTGATCTATCACGGCTCAAAAATGTAAAATGTAAATAGCTAGTAATAAAATTTCGATACTAAACCCGCATCATTCTAATCCCGTTTACAACCATCAATATGTTATCATACCATGATCGTAGCGTGTAATTAAAATGTCAAATGCGTGTTATTATTTCCAGGCGGTTGTTTCATAGCTCGAGGCGCTTAAACATTTATTATTTTTTTAACATTTATTAGATTTAAAAAAAATATAGTACGATAACTATTCATACATTTTGTGATTTTGAAATGTCGAAAGTTTATATAATTATCCTTGTCTTCCGAAAAATGTTTAATCAGCCGACTTTTGATATCATTGTGTTAATAAATTTTAATATTTATTAATACAATGATAGCAAAACTCTGATTGGGTTGTTCCTTATTTATAAACAGTACACGTGATAAACTATACTACATTCATACTTATACTATTTTGTAACGGTTGCATTACTTCAATACAAAAAGAATGAGTACGTTTGTATATATATTTGCATAATACATAAATATATGATACAACTTTAAGTATTTATGTATACTATCTTATTCACCGGCCTACAAATCTGAGTTGGTTATTTCATTTTAAATTGTTGGAAATATTAACTTTTATTTAAATATACCATAACGTGTCAGGGTTACCTAGGGACGATATGGTTTATCGTTAGTGATGTACAAAATATTTTTAAGATTAGATCGAACATACTTCTAACAAAGATTACGGATAAATAACGAAGATTAGAAGGAACTTATTTTATCTTTCAAGAATTTATTGTACTAGTAGTCTCGAATTGACTATTGATTCGAATCTTTAACGTTCCTACAGTAAATGCTCGATGATAAAATATATACATAGTACCTTTATTATTATTGCACCTTAAATTCGAAAGATATATAAAAATGTACCGTATATTAGAGCCAATATTATACATGTGATGTCAGGAACAGTTATAATTAAGAATAATAATGTCACCCTTTACAGGAACTGTTATAGTATTTTAAACTAATTCTGATACCCTGATTTTTTCTACACTATGTTTTGAAATAAAAAAATGACATCGAATTGAATATATGTCAAACGGCAGCCCGAATTGAACATTCATGCACTTTACTGCGAGCTGCGAGTGACATATAATGTGTGATACTTCTAAAACAATCGAATTAATTATGACAGAAGAAAGTCCGACCATATATATACGTGTACCGAGTGAAATAGACAACAAGACACTTTTACCCGGAGTGGATATTTTAAAGGTCATGTCAATTTATATTAGCACTGATATTAACATTACATTTATTGATAATTATACACTGTTACGTAAAATGCAAATGTCTTCAAATTTCTGAAAAACTCAAATTTTATATTTTGATTTTGTTCAATGTTAATGGATATCTCGAACTATTGATGGTTCAAAGGTATATTTAGAGTAGAAATAAAAGCTTTAAAACTCACAAATTTTTCATTTGGAATGTGATTCCAGCTTTAGTATAAAGTTCACTTATTTAGATTCAAAAAATTTTGAACATAATCTAGTAACTACATCACGAATAATGCAAGCACGTTGATGATATCTCTTCCAGATATAGGTATCACTTAACTAGCCAAGGAAACTGAACTAGCCAAGGAAACTGTAGGCTTCTAGAAGTTTCCTATTCTAACACAGGAGGAATCTTCGTTAATAGCTGAGTACGATATACAAGGTTAAAGGTGTAATTATTTCGAATTACTACGACTAAGCAAAGCGCGAAACCGAAAACTGAAAACTTTTGTGCAGGTAGGCAGTACGGGTAGCTTTAATTACTATGACAACAAAATATATAAATCCATTTGTGTTATATTAATTAAAATGTGATATATTAACTACCCGGCTTCGCACGGGTGAAATGTAGATACTAATGCGAAGCGATTAGTAATATTATGATTAGTCTATACGACAGGATATCTATACAGATAAATAAAATTGGAGTGTCTGTTTGTAATATTAAAATAACCGCTTTTTACTAAATGCATATGGATGTTAACACGTTACATATACCAAAATAACATTTAAGATGATAAATTTTTGATTATAATTTTTGTGTCTGTCTGGCTGTTTGTGCGGGCTAATCTCTGAAACGGTCTTTATATATAATACTAGCTGTGACCGCGACTTCTTAAGCGTGGAGTTTAAAATAAAAAAAATCTAAAAATAAAAGTAGCCAAGTTACTCCTTAGTACATCAACTATCTGTCAGTGAAAGTCCCGGCCAAATCCAGCCGTTTCCGTTACATCACATTAAAAATCTTTAATATTTCCGGCTTTTATCTACTACAATATTTATACCACACATAAACCTTTCTATTGATCCAGTTTATCTAGTGTTGAAGACTACATCAAAATCCGTTGCGCAGCTTAAAAAACCTACCTTTCAATTACTAATACTACCCTACTATGTAAAGAAGATATATCTTTAAAAAATCTGAATTCATTAGAGGTGAAGCGGTGTCTTAGTTATTTCCCTGCCTATAAAGAAATGAACGTAACATTTAAGAATATAATATATATTTAACATATTTACTAGTTAAGTTTTGGAGACGGAATTTTAACACAGTAGTCAAATTATAATTCGCACAGCATTTAAAATGCGATCGCGTCCCATAAAGAAAAACAATTGTCCTTCTTTTCTATATATGTATTAATATTAAACTTAAAAACTTAGTTAAATATGTACAAACAATGACTAAACACGAAGCACCAATGTAAAAGGCACCGAACTCTATAATTTACGACCGAATCAATTGGTATAAAGTCGCTCTTTTCCAATGATTCGTTTTCACCCGTGGCAGGCGTACAAATAGTTCGCGCATTTAAGGCAATCCGAAAACTCGAAAGATGACATCCGACGTTCGGTGTCAGGTACGAAAACTCGTAGAGTGGTGCTCCGAGTACGGCGTCACGCGATTATGAAACTTTGCAATACGCACCCACAACGTGTCCATGTTGCCGTCAACTCACTGCCGACACAAGTGTCGCGATGACCGGCCGACCCCACTTATATACCTGACACGAGGATGGGTCGCCCGATGGCCGCTGCCCAGATCCAATGGCGAGGTTGGGTCGCACGGCAATCGGCTGGAAACCGGTAACACGAAATCTCTCGTCCATTTCTCGACGGCAGCCGAAAGCTCGGTAGGAGCTTTGCGGAATAACTCCCCAACGATATTTGGATGTTTCATCTCGCTTTTACTCCGCGCAGGTACCCAGTAGGCAAATGTAGGATGGGCTTTGAAACGAGTCTCATGTACCGTTATGGACATTTTAAATTTTCACAGATGATGTATTTGTTGCCGCGATAACAACAGATACTAAAAAGCAAAATAAAAAAATATTAAAGTGGGTCCTCCGTACAATAGACATGATTTTTTTGGCTTTTTAATAGATAATGGTTACGGAACTCTTCGTGTTCGAGTCCTCCTCGCACTTAACCGGTTTTTATATATTAAGAATTCGAGTTACTCTTTGTGTGCCTCGCTGATAGCTCTGTATATATTTTGCATGACCTTTTACGGTTAAAGCAAGTGGAAATTGAACCGTTCGTTTTCTTTCATGACCTTTAATACCACGAAATGAGTTTATATTAAGACGGTGACATTTTAATCATACACACGCCCTTAAAGTCGGTGCGCCTTACATCATGATGCTAAAAGTAAGTGGGGCAATGATCTAAGTCGAAAAACACGAGTAATCATTATTAAAAAAAACATCACTGTGTGCCGTTCTGAATTATCGCAAGGCAGGAAGTAAAAATGTGTCCCTTTGTAAGCTATTTTGTAACCCGAATAGTTTAGCGAACATTCCTGGTCATAATTTTACATCATCCTGTATTGTATTTTATAATTAATATATTATCGGTAGTTAATACGTAAGCCGAACGAGCCGGATGGCTACTCACGATTAAAATGCAGAATTCACATGCAACTGTAATCCAAGGCTAATAAGAAAAAAATTGAATCCATGTTTGACATATAAAATTAGATTGCGACGGAAAATAGTAATTTACAGTTTTACAAGCGTGATCGGATGACAATTATTATGCATACAGCGCCATGATGCTTAAAAGTTTACTAAATTCAAACATCGGATGCAGAAACAGGAAATCATCCCGAGCTATACGTTGACGTGCGTCACAAAAGTCAAATCAAGCAAGGCGATCGAATCTTTTTAGTTTTACACTTTTAACATATATTTGGCGGCTGTGATGTAGTAAGTGGCGGGCTTGAATCCAGAAGTAATCAAGGAGTCTCGTTATATATATATATATATATACAAAACATATATATACAATATATATACAAAACCTCTTTTTTAGACGAGTCTCATGTTACATACAACAATAGTTGCCAGTTTGTAAGATATTCAGTACCGCTAGCTAACCTAAAGCTTTAACCATTATTTGCTCCATATTCGTTCCATCGAACTTGTTACACTTGCTACGCTATTTAAATTAAAATATTCAGGGTCATTGGAACATAATTTTAACCGGAGATTATTAATTTAAGCGGCAAGCGGTGAACTCGTCGCTATCTTACTAGTCTAACCCGTAACTTAGCGTTAGTTGGGTAACTTACTTAATTGACAATAACAAAGTGTACGTACAAGTCAAAGATATAGAATATATTTAGTATAATTTAAAAAAAAACGGACTTAAGTAATTGACTGCCTAAAGGCGTTTTATTTTTCTTAAAGCCAAATTCTAATAAGGTCATATTAAGATCTTATGATTCTAGTGTTTATTAGACTCAAATCATATGACTCATAAAGTAGTGACAGAGTACTGTCGGAGGTCAGAGAGGTCGAAATAAACATCAAAGAGGAAATAAAGAATTATTAGTCAGTAGCTATGAATATGACGTTGAAGAATAGGGACAGTTCTAAATAATGATCAGTTAAAACTTTTGGTATTTACTTTGTACCTTTATTAATTCGGTCGGGGCCGGGGCGATATGGGATGCAGCTGAAGTTAGTAAATGACGCAAATATGAGTCTCTATATTTAGATTTTATACTTGTGCCATTTGCTGTTGAAACTTTGGGCCCGTGGGGACATAGCACATCGAAATTTTATAAATGTTTATGTCCTAGGCTCAACGCCGTGGCTGGTGACAAGAGAGCTGGTTATTTTCTCGCTCAAAGGTTAAGCATAACTATTCAGCGAGGAAATGCAGCTGGCGTTCTTGGCACCATGCCGCGTGGATTAGGTACATGTAATTTTAAATAGATTTAATGTTGTAAATATTGGATAAATAAAATCTTTGTACCTGTAATCTTAAACCAGTCAAAAGTGTAGATTTAGAAAATTTTAAAATATGCATAATAATGATAATTCATCCGTGTATGGAACACGGATTTCCCCATATAGCCGATATGTAAGTAAATTGAAGGCCGAATAATGCAGTCAAAGCGGTCGTACCAATGACTAATTCATCAAAACTTGTTATTAAACCAATGCCATACATGCACTACTTTATATAAGAAGATGGCAAGCATTCTGGCGGTTCACCTGATGTTAAGTTTAGTCGCCCACGGACATTAGCAAAGCTCGTAGGGTCAAAGACTCGTTGCCGACCTCTACAACTTCACGACAGTCTTCTGCGAGGTCGTGTTACCACCTCCGTCGGAACTGCCCAATTGTGCAACAGCGAAGACTGTTGCGTAGCCTTACCACAGTTTAACCACTCAATGTGTTTATTTAATCAAATAAACTAAACAACTAATATGACAGTTCAAACTTTTTTGTAAAGTATCAGCCTATACATATCCCACTGCTGGGCAAAGGCCTCCTCTGTACAGAGGGTATCAGGGCATAGTCCATCATGCGGCCCCACTGCGGATTGGTGGACTTCACATACCTTCCAAATATTTTTTTGTTATTATTTCGAAAATATGCAGGTTTCCTCATGATATTTTCTTTCACCGCTGAGCACGTGATAATCGGCACTTAAAATTAACATTTCATTGGTGTGTCGGCCGGGGATCGAACTAAGCTTGCTCAAGTATATTTAATTAAAGGCGAGCGCCCGGACACTGAGCTATCACGGCTATAGCTAAACTTTGTTTATCTGATATAAAATAAGCTGTTCATGAAAAGTGTACCTCGGTGTAGTGTGAAACCGCGGCCGTCTGTTTTGCTGTGACCGAGCTATTATAACATTTTTTTTTGCGGCGAGATTTACCGTCATATTTTCGTCGAGCAATTCTTGTCTATATATATATATATATAAAAGAATTGCTCGTTTAAAGGATAAGATAGAGTATAGAATGAACATCGATTGGTTTTAGCGCTTGCGAACTTTCCATCAATGGAGTTCTGCACACTAGGTATGATAATTATTGTTATAAAATAATGAAAAGTGATCAAATCTTCCTCAATTAAAATATTACAAAAATTAACAGGATTTCCTACCAGGAAGGATTTTTTAATAATTAAGCACTAACAGCACCATTTATAGTAAGCGGTAAAACTACAGTTGTTTACCATAATAAGAATAGCAGGAGACATACTTTGTCGTTATGTAAAATATGTACTGGATAATGCATGTCATAAACATGAACTTGATGGAGTACGGTAATTTAAGCGAGCTGAACAGATTACTTTATTTCCGGCTCCGTTATTCATAGGTGCGTATCAGCTCTATTCTTCGGGTAACTTATTTCGGGTTCTACTTTTTAGACTACTCAAATTAAGGTAATTATACTACGTTGTATGCACTATTATTGTCTCAACTATTCGTGTACCAGTACCTATTTTATACAAAGACTTTCATCATCATTTCGGCATATTAGATTCCACTGTTGAACAAAGACTTTCATGTCAGGAGTAAATATTTATAGGCCATACTTATTACATTTGGGAATTGAGAGGACCACCCAAACTGAGTCAAGCTTAGTAGCTCCGCTATCCAGGCTGTGTAGTTACTACTAGTAATTTTCTTTTTTTCTTTGTGAGCATTCTGCATTTTAACGTGTCTACTATGAAATCGTCTTGGTACTTAATGGGTCCAGTTGTCTTTTCAAATTTTCATATCAACTTCTTTTGTCAAAGAATGCACGAACGATCATAAAAGTAATCGTTAACTTCTTGTCGTTTCTCTTAGTTACTAGTAGAGGAATTTGCCTAAAGTTAGTAGTTAGTTCCGCATAAAACCAAACACGGTAAAATACATATATCAATAAATGTCTCAACAAAAAGATTCTTAATATTCACCATTTTAAATAATTGAATTAGTTAATTCGTTACTAAAACCACTTTAGACTATCTATACGAGAATTTTGTTTTCGCGTTTCGTTACTTAAGAAACTCAAGTATTTCCTCCATTATGGCTTAATAAATTAACTTTAATGGTTTAATATAAGTTAAAGTGTGGACTCGTTTAACATACCATTTTCTGACGCAATGACAAATACATCTAAGTAAGTACTTTTGTGTGATTTGCAAGTTTTTCTAACGATAAACTTATGGGATACCGTTGAATTCTTTTCCATGCCACCGATGTCATATCAAGCCTCAGTTGGTAAATTTTTCTTTCCGAGATCTTTGAACGTGTTCCGTCTGTGGGTTAAGTTGCGTGAGTTATCCCTTTAAATAACAGCGATGTCGACCTTTGTTACGTTATACAAGGATGCACTTTCACTGGTGCATTAAATGCACGCGGAGGGCATCAACACATCCGATATGGCCCTTTGGAAATACTACGGAGACAAAAACAATTATAGGATGATGTGTAGTGATGTCATTATACCGATAATCATTGTTTTACGGTGTCGATTTTGATTCACTTTGAATATTTGACCGGTTTGTGATAGTTATTGTTTGGGAAAATTTGAGTAGTACAAGTAAGCCTAAATTAAAATACGAATTGATGAATTATTACCATTTAATTATGAACAATTCAAACAAAGCCGTATGTTAATGTTTATCCGTAATCTCCACTAAACAATTA